AAGAGGGAGAAAAGAAATGTCAAGAATAGAAGATTTGATCTTTTTTTTTTAATACATATGTAACAACTATGTAGTTGTATATAGTATATAGTTGTATATAATATATACTGATAAAATATTCTTTAGATGAAAAGCGAAATCGATTCTTCAGATCCAGATAGGTTTGTTCTGCCGCAGGATATTTGAATGTCAATCGATAGATCTGAGTTTCGTCTTCGAAGATATGAAGCCCGAGAGATGAAATATCCTTCCTTCGAAATATCCGCAGAAAGGCAAGACAAAGCTTACGCTGCATCAGTCGATGTAGAGCACAGATGTTGGTGACGTACGACCGCACCGATTGGTACACTTCACTGACTGCAACATGGAAGGCTAAGAAGCTTTTGCTTCAACTACCGATACAGCATACCGTATAAATGCTCTAACGATCTCTTCGTTTCCGAGCGTAACGAGAAATCCTACCGGCTGTCGTTTGATCCAAAGCTTACAAATACAAGTAACGCTAAGCAGACTTTTACATAGCAAGATATTTACTAGATAAAGTTGGGTCTATTTTACCGATACAGCATCTATTTCTCTCTATCTCTCTTTCTCTTTACACAAAGTGTTCAGATTCTTGTACTTTTTTATCCCACTTTATTATTAATATTATTCGCTCAATTTATTCTAAATGAAAAAGTATGTCTTGAAACGTGATATTCGTATTATAAGCATTATGAAAATTAATTTTACTAAAATACACGTAACGTCAACATGGAACGAGGTGGTTTCACGAAAATCATGAAAAAACTGATTATATGCATTATCACAAATTACACGTGTGTTGCTGATTAAACAATGACTTTATTACATCACGTGAGAGATAGAATCTGTTTACGTTAATGCTAATAGGACCTTCCTAATAATCTAGAAATTAGCCGTCATAGCCACGCCTGTTTCCCGTCATGTACAATGTGGTAACGAATATTATATGGTAACTAGGAATTAACTATACTGATGAGCTATATACCATAAATGCGTTTGTATAATCGAATAATCGGATTTAAAGAAAATTATTTTAACGCGCGATTAATATATTGAATATATAAGTTTTTAATAAAATAATTCGATTAAAAATTTATCACTAAACGCATGCGGAAGTTATAGCCGAGAATTACGTAATCACAATATTTTACAATATTATACTACATAAACAGTTAATTTTGCCAGTGATTGTATCGAATTTGCCAAAAGATATAAAATTATTCAGGGAAACATGGAAATGTAACGGAAATCGCCTTGAGCCTAACATAAGCGCATCGTTAATGAATAATGAGCAAGCTTCCTATTATCATCCACCTTTACTCATACGTCTTGTAAATGGATACAGTCTATAACAGACTGTTGAAGCGTGTATTTAGTTTGATCTGTATTTCCGTGTTCATATTGCTGTACTCCAGTTAGTGTATAGTCAAGCTTAGAATAGAATTGGAACAGAATTTCTATCTCGGTATACCGTTTTCCGGAGCAAAGATGGCTTTTCTGGCCGACTACATAAAAAGAGAAACGAACGCACGGATGTAATCCTACCGTACGACGCGAATAAATCACTGAAAAAAAAACTTTGTTAAAAGTTCATTCAACTCCTTGCGCCGACATTCAGCGGGGATAAAGGCGACCTTCTGACTTACACGGGAGCGCCCGTCTTACAGGAGAATTCTCGCATAAAATTTGTTACATTAACGCGTTACGATCTAATTCTTTATCGTGTCTTCCTTCGTCCGATCTCTCAATACCCGACATTTAAGCCGCAGCCATTGCGTATTTCTACGCTTTCCTTTGCCTTTTGCATATATTCCTCCCAAGTCCGAACTATGACCTCCACTTTTATGCGGTCTATCAACCCTTTCACACGTTTTACGACGTGCTTTGGAAGTGGAAATTTCACCGCTAGCGCTGATTGGCAGCGCGTCGGAAAGAACTGTCAGCGAGCAAGGGGACTTGGCCTCGCTTTTTCTTTTTCTACCTCACGGACGCTCGAGCGAACTCCTACCTGGAGTGCGATTACCATTTTATCGAGTCTGATTTGCGAGCACTTTACACGAACCTTGTTACTGCTTGGGCATTGTAAGCAAAGAGCTGCACTTACTAGCGTCCTTTCAAAAATTTCGCCAGACCCGGCACGGTGGAAATGTAGTATACATTTGTGCATACGTTTGCTGTGCACGCTTATGCGATAACGCGGCGGTATCACGGATACACTTGGGCTGTTTGTTATCGTTCGAATATAGCGATGATCAGTTGTGTCTGGCGAAGAAAAATACAATAAGGGGCCGCGTGTCGAGAACACGCGAATCTTCTGCAATTGATTATGGAAGCGCAGGAGTACAATGGGTAAACAGCGATATGCCGTTGAATTTCAATTTCGTGAGTCGATCAATGTTTACTAGCATCTCACCGTTTCAGTATCGCGGGCCCGCGTGGTGTTTGCACGTGACAAATGTACTCTCGGTAATGCACAAATAAATCGATTTCAATCATAAACAGCGGTTGAATCACACGAAGGAAACTTTTGGCAAACAATCGTTTCATTATCATCGCAAATTAATACAAACACATCGATATGCGTATTATTGCGCAATTCTGGCACGCAATTCCGTTAGGTGTAATTTCCACTCATCGATAAACGGAACATGCTTATTGCGTTCTCCGTGAATATAGATTTTTTTCGTCGAGAAAGTTGAAAATTTCATTAAATATTCTTACAATTATTTAACGCGCATCTTTATTATTAAATATTGCCCTAATAAAGGAGACCTGCTTTTTAATAGAGTCTCAAATATTGTAAAATTTCTACTGTCTGTGTCAACAGGAATGCTGGAGAAGCATTTTTTGCACATTCATTAAATTTGCACTGTTATATTAAAATGATTTCTTTGAGCAACGCAAATTTACATATCTATAATCACAGCAGGTCTCCTTTATTAAGCGACAGCATTTGTCATGCAAACACGGTAAGTGGACCATCGCGAGAGTATCTTCCGTGTATAACTGTGCTAACTGTGCATAACGGTTAATAACAAGTTTCATTGTCGGAAGCGCGGATGGAGATGCGGAACACTAGCATTCCATCCCGTCGCATTGTAAGCTGCGAACATCCTCGCGAACTTTGTCGCGGCTTCTTCAAAGGCGACGGAACACTAACGAATGGTATGGAAACGAGCGCGAAGTTAAGTCCGAGGAATTCCTTTTGTATTACGTCCAGTGAATAACCGGTAATAAAGATACGCCTTGGCGTTCCTTTCGTCATTACGCGTAGGCGATCGTGCAAGATTCATAAAAGGTAACGGGATGTTCCTTACGCGAAAAAATTACGAAACAAAATTCGCCGGTGGCGTAATTACGCGCGCAAAACATAATCACCGACGGAAATCCTATTTTTCCGACTTTCCAGGGAACGACGCGGTTGTCGGCCGGCCGGCTGGTCATGCAAGATTCGTAATTACGGCGCGTAATTACCAGATAACAGATAGGCAAGCGCGACCATCCTCGTTTTTCTTTCGCCACATGTCTGGCAAAACGTGCCGCGTCATTGGGTGCAAAGCGCATGCCGTTCTTTAAATCTTCTAGCGCAAAAAAGAAATGCGCGCGCACGCACACATACATTTCACTAAGTGAATTTTAACACAATCCCGAGAAACGTTAGTAAAAAATTTGCTGGCAACGTTGCTGATTGCTTTAAATTATTGATGAAATTTTGATTCAAGCATTTACAAAGAAACGTTTGCAACTTTATGTCTAAGATTAATTAAAATAACGGTAATAATCTCTTGAATGAAGGAAAATTATTTAACCGGCACTAGAATTTTTATCACCAATAATTTCTTTGATAATTAGCGGCTTACGAAACGTCGAAATGCTGAATAAAGTCTGCTGCTGCTGCAAGCGGCTGCGATATTTTATTTTAATTAAACTTTTCGTTCTCGGAATGAACATCGCCTATCCGTTTCACCAACAAATCGCTCGCAAACTTTTTCCTCGACTACTACGAGAGATTATAGGTTGATTCGTGCGAATCCGCCGATGATTACCGACGCCGTGTCCCGCGCGAAAATCCGATTAGACGGTTTAAAATCGATGGTAACCGGCGCGGAGATCCATTCACGACGGATGCGAGCGCTGTAACAGGGCAACAACGCCGACATTGGGCAGTTTAGAGGGTGCGTGTTTGAAATTGGTCGAAGGGCTGATAGAGCGTGTGCGACGGTAGACAGGGAGAGAGAGAGAGAGAGAGAGACGAACGTGCAAGCCGGCGGCTTGCAATTACCATTCATTACTTTGTTGGGGCCAATTGACATAACTGATTGGTATTCGGCACCCATGCCACCCTCAAAGGATCCTGCCGACCGTCACGAAGGGGGCTAATGTAGTTACCCACGTCTATGCTGCGGGCTACACACACCTCCGATACAACACCCCGGCGTTGCCCGCGCGCGTTTACGACGTCGAACGCGCGGAGTTAAATCACGATTAAAGCACTCTTTCGAGAATTAATACGGTTTCGAGCGCGACGGTTACTGCAGATCGCGCACGGGGATTGAATGATCGTGTGCGATCCGCAGTGCCTTCGTCGAGAAATACGTGTTTTCGTTTTTCTTCTCTTTCTTTTTTTTTTTCTTATTATCTTTCACCAAGCAGCTGACTCTTTCTGCTAATTTTAGAACGTGTCGGGCTTTTCAATCCACTGATGCTTTCAGCACGCGAAATCTGCCAATTCTGCAAATAGATCCGGGTGAAATTTAATTTGAGACGAAAACTCACAGTTCAGATATAGAGTTGATTTTAAATTTTATAAGTTCTATCTATCAAATTCCATTATCACGTACAATTGCATTATTGCCGTAATTTTATTACACATCGTTTATATACGTTATAATAAATAGAAGATATATTTCTGATCTTGCTACATATCTAAAAGCAAGAATAATTATTAAAAGGTGACCTGACTTCTCTTGTTGCAGTATTCTTGCGCGGAAGAATGGTCTTGCATCACGGATATCCTGCGTAAGGCGCACCGGCAACTCTCGATGTAAGGGCGCACGAAGCAAGGTAAGTAAAAATAAGTTTACCAATAAACAACTTTTTTATAATTGCGAAAAGTAATATTTGCAATTATGAATGCATTTACTTGCTTACTATGCATGAAGGTATACCTACGTGTAACGAAATAGTTTACAGCCGCCGCATTCAAAATACTTCCTTACGCAAATTGCATTCAACTCGCCCTATTTAATCAGTCTCACAAATAAAAGCATAGCAACTCGGAAAATTTATACATAAATCACGCAGAAACCTAATTTTACAAGCTCTAAACTTGCGCAAATGTTAACCGTCCGTAATCAAGAGTCCTTTTTTATGTAACTTTCCTTCTGTCTCAAACTTCTTGCTTGCCATAAACTTAACCGACTATCACAATTCGAAGCCATTTTCCTTGACCAAGCACTATTTCCACCCGAAGGAGGTACACGAAGAATGGAAAGTCAACTGATAAATAGTTCCTAATGTTTTTCCGCGTCGAGTTCGCCTTCTCTGCGGTACGGCGTGCCGAGTACACTTACGTCTGCAAGAATTTCGGGCTCGCTTAGTTCCGTTTCTCAAGAGAAATTCTAACTTACCGTTAAAAGAATCGAGGCGAAAAATTCTGCTTCATTGCGAACGGATGACATTTCCCTTCCTTTCGCGAGAACGCTCACAGTGGCATTTTCACATTCCTTATCGCGGCAGTGTGGAACTATCATTTCCCTAGAAAAGCCCTCTTAGAAAAATCATGGAATGAAAGAACGGTATTTAAGGGAGACGTTGGAAACGCATTCCAAGCGTTATATCAGCATTTAAATTTTATAGAAATACGCGTAAGATATTATTTAGCGAAGTGTTCGATAAAATTATTATTAAAATAATGTTTCAATTTACATTGTTATTTTCATCATTAAATATTTTTTTTCATTGTTTATTAAACTCTAGTCACTATTCAAATATATTTAATATTTATTTTCGCTAAAACACTATATATTTGCATTAATATAAAGCGTATAAAATGTTTTCGATAATTTATTTAATGTGAAAAGGGAAAATTTAAAAAAAATACAATATTATTTTGTGATAAGCGAGGAACGTATAGTATACATATATCAAGGTAAAACACGTTCAGCACATCAGCACTGCGAAACATTATTCATTATTACGCGTCAGCTATTTCGCAGCAAAATCGATACTATAGTATCTTTGAATGCACATTTTTAAAATATTCACAGAGAAAGAGATGTTACGGAATAACGCAGTAGGATATCTATAATACGTGAGGCAACATCGATCGTAATTTGTTGATACAAGTTGTTAAGCAGTTTAATCTTTCAATTTTTATTTTTTAATTAACTAAATCTCCTTTCTCTTTCTCTATCTTCAAAATATCATTTAAAATTGCTACAATTATTTAGTTTGTCAAGACTAGGCTAACGCTATTCTGTTTGCCACACAAACATTGCGACAAATCAAGGCTTTGTCGCGAGTCGCAATACAGCGTCGAGAATGGCACAGTATTGCACGTCAATGACAACGTTTACACGACCCACTTTACGCCGGCTTAGTGTACCAACTTAGTGTACCTCAAGTGTTAAATGTAGTATAGACTGTGATTTTACGTTGCGGTCACTTCGCTCGTGTAATTACGTGTTTATATAGGATGATGATCATAAAGTTGTAAGTAAAAACAACTTGAAAGTCTAACTAATACTTATCGTAGGAACAATTTGCGTTCAAAACAGGATGTTTATAATAGTTTGGAAATACATGATAGCTGTGATGCTGTGTGTGTAGAGATAATAATTCGAATAATTTAAAAGAAATATACATATATCGCAGATAATAACATAACACTCGGCGTTACGTGGTGACAGAATATATTTAAGTAATACAAAAGTTTAAGAAAGCTTTTAAAAATATTTAAAGAACGTTTTAAAGATTATAGCATTTTTTTCAAACGTTATTACAACATTTTTTAGACTTTGTATTATCTACATACCTTTGGGAGAGCGAAATGGTATACTCGCATCGTATCGTTGTTACAAATTGTCTAACACGTGAAATAAATCGTCAATTCAAATTTTTTTTCATCCAATTAATCCGTAGTCTCTCGTTACTTCTGAATACAAATTGACCGCCAGTCGATGACTCTTATTGCAAAACGACACGATAGAAACGTGCGTTTCAAAAGCGTATCCGATACGCGCAGCATTGCACGTATTCATTTGAGCGTCTCCTTTTTTTTCTCTTTCACATTTATTTCCGTTCATGTCATCGAATACACGTGTGCCAATGTTACAACGAACACGTTAAACGCGCGCGAGATTTATAAATGAAAATGAAAAACGCGATCGCGTCATCATACGCCGAAAACTCAGTCAATAATGTAGCATCGTCGCGGGAACAATGAAAATAAAATTCATGTTACATGCACAAATCCATGGATTGTGTGTACCTTTACATCAAAGAGGATTTTCCCCGAGTTGTGCTAACAACAAGCATGTCATGCTCAGCCACTCGAACGTCTCACAAAGCGAACAATGTTTGAAAAACAATTATCTATTATTTCGTAATACGAAAGTATAAAAATGAAAACACGATTCCCTGCAAAATTTTGCTTTACAAAACAAATTATTCTACTTAGTATTTTTTTACATTCCTTGCACGCTATTCGCATTTTCTTCGCAATTAATTAAAACCTCGTTCTTTTCCCGTTCCTTTGCATTCAATTAATAATGTAACTGAATTCGACATTCGTGCGGACGGAAGAACCGTTAGTCGCTATAACGGATTTGACACATTATTATTTTACGGAAAAGCTAATTAATATGTCGACGGGGCGGGCAAAACAAAGCCTCATTTCCGCGACCGATCAATGATTCTGGACAACGTAATTATCAGCTCCATTTACGCCACTGACAGTGATGATTCATTAACGTGGGGGTAAAAGGTGGCGAACGGTCCATATGCGCCGCTATTTTTATGGCGCCATTATGAAAAGCTTGCCTAATTCGGTCTGATGTCATTAATGTCTGCGATTCGGCGATAAATTATTCAGGATAATTGGATTCAGGGCCTGCATAAAATCCACTTAGTATATGGCGCCCATTCAGTAAAGGTAGTCGCGGGCCACATGGACATAAAAAGGGGGGAGGAGAGCGAGCTAATGCTCCGACATGAGATTATTTTATACCGGGCTCTATGGCGTGTGTTGTAAATCGACGCTATAGCGCGACCCACCGTAGTGCGGTATTTAATAGTTCATGCTGTATTACGCCGAGCGAAATAATATCGTTCCGAAATTTAAATTTTTTGGGGAGCTTGCAACCATTAAAACGCGCACTTAGAAATAATAAGTAATCCTTTATTCATTATCCTTTATTTAAATGAAATTTAACAGATCCTGATATATTAAGCATACATTATCTTATATATATATTAATTTATATCATTTCTATTTATAAATTCATTTTTATATTTTTACTATTTAGAAACATGTAATAATTGCTTTTTCTTTTGCCTCGCAGTTACTTTTTTAATCTTGAAGAGGTCCGCACAAAGGGTGTGTTTGCGAATAACGCTGATCTTTAACATCGCAGATTGCATTCGTATATTTTGTTGCATTATTAAGCCAAAGGCGAAAGAATTTTCCGCGTCTGCAAAATGGACGCGCCTCTGTATACACTACCCCACGGCAATTGCTCTGTACTGCAATACGCACGGCGTGCAAGCAAACATTTTTCATTTAGTCGAATACTCTTAAATATCAAAGAGTGCGCACACGGAAAGCGAGGAAGAACGCAATTCTCCGTGGCTACCGCGTCCCAGCATTACGAACCGATTCTCGGGCGTCTGTTGTCTACACAAAGCTAAAAATGACGAAAGAGAACAAAAAGAAACGCGGCGAAAAGAACGTACGGCGAAGCAGAAGGGAAGCACACGAATTAATTAAGAGTCCGCGGATCGCCGGGGCGAGCAAACAAGGTGCGGCGCAGTCGCCGTGGTTCACAGGTACACCGAATATCCGGTCGCGGTCGTGTGCGAACCGGAGAAAGAAGGTCGGCAAGGAAGATAGCGGCGGTTGAAAATGCGAGCCGCCCCTTCGTCGATTCGCCGCGGCGCGTATGCCCCCGCGTGTTATATCGCTCGATATACAAACGAAACCGCGGAGACCCCGGCGGGAGTGCATCTCTTCTCCGAGCTGTCTCGCGGAGAGAACGGGCGGAGAGAGACTGCGAGACACAAGAGGTTGAAGAATGTGCACTCAGCGTGATTGGTGCTGCGCGCCGGTGCATAGTGCCGGCTGTCGGCATGAAAACTCGAGAATTTTCCCAACTACTCATGTGCACACAGCCGAAGACGTGCGTATAAACCTGCCTCTCACCGCGCGGCGTCTTAGCCACCGTGATCGAACTATCGGCTTTCCTGTCGTAGAACTATTCTCTTTTTCCCTCCCTGTATTCCGGTCTTCTATTTCCGTCTTAGTATATAGCGAGAAATGTATAAGTTTTAGCAACTCGCATTGTGGTTGAACACGGAGATTTTTGGGCTTTTCTCGCGCACAAATATTTTATCCGCGACGGAGAAAAAAAAAAGGATACGAATTTGAAAGCATTTTTAATTCGTAGGTTCATCCAATCATGAGAAATCAGGAAATCTCTTATATCATTGAAGTATGAAATTTGCAAAGGGATTGGTTTGAGAGATATATGGGTAAAAGAGTTTTTTTCAATCTTTTTAGTGCGCATTGTGTGTCGACGAACGAAACTTTTAATCCGTTTTATAACAGCCACTGTTATTTTGTTAAGCCGCTTTAAATGAAATCGTAAATCAGACAGATGCCCAAATTCTGCTTGTCTTGTTACATTTGCCGAGCAGCAAAGCGAATTTGTATTGGGATTTTACAGAGAGATTTTCCAATAGCAAATAATATTCGGCGTGTTGCAAGCTATTGGTTTATTCGCGTAGACATAAACAACAAACTACGCTTGCAAGTTGTAATGTAAATCGGACCGAATAAAGTACATTCAGTATTTGTCAGAAGCTAATATTTATCGAAAGATCAGATTCATATTGCTATTGCAGCTACCGCAAAATTAAATGTTATTAACGAAACGTATTAACAATTTATATGAACACAATATGAACAAGAAAAGAGGAAAATCAACTATTATTATATTAATATATTGAACAAATATAATATTAAAATAATTACAGATGCGCAATATGCATATGCAAAATTTCTCTCTCTCTCTCTCTCTCTCTCTTTCTCTCTCTTCTTCTTCTTCTTCTCTTCT